CCAGATTTATGTATGTATGAAAACTGACAAGGATTCTAAAATTAATACAGAAACAAATGGTGAAAAGAGAAAGCAAATAAATCTTAAAGAATAAAAAAGTTATAAGACGTTCACTACCAGGTTTCCAAAAATACTACAAAACAACATAAAGATTAAGAAGCCATCTTTATCAAGCTAAAGACATGTTAACACATTGTGGATGGGTGACGCATATTTGCGTCTATACTTTACAGCTGTGCAAGATGTATGACGCAAACCTACGTTTATAACACGTGCTTGGTTTCCACGCACTATACACTTAACTACACAATACATGGAGCCTTTCTCCGAATGGTCCTGCTGACGAATGTTTCTAGAAACGTGACCTCACTCCGAGTTAATGATCTGTGATATAGAGAACAAACAGCTCTGTATTTTCCTCTGTTGCTCTCCTCTGCATTTAATCAGCATTCAGATTTCAATCACTTTACACCCATGACGGAAAGATGTAGTTCTTACAGGAAAAAATATCTTACAGATGATGAAATTTCAGCAGAATTGTTGTAGGACACATGATCTGATGTTCCTGACAACGCTGATAGTGACAGTGAAAATGACAGTGACTCTTCTATTATTGGAAATAGGCAAAACAAAATTGTGCACCCTTTACCGAGTTACAGTGAGTGAACAAAGTGCAAACAAAAGTGACGATGACGATGACACACTAGATTTGGCAGTTTCCACATGGTAAAAACGGATAAAGCACCAATTTTAGGGCCATTTACCAGAAACCCAGGGGTGAAACAAATTCCCTCTGACCCAATGAAAGTATCACAAGTAACAGGACTCTTTCTTGGAGACTGATTCTTTGCTATGTTGTGTGAGGAAACGAATCTATATTACTTACAAAACCAGGAAAAGTATCTTACTGGTTCTAAGGAGTTGAAATGGTTAGATGTCACTGTAGCAGAAATGAAAAAAATTTTTCAATACTTATTCTAATGGGGCAATTCAGGAAAGATAAACTAAAGGATTATTGGTCTAGGGGTCCATTTTTAGATACTCCTATTTTCAGGAAACTTATGAGCCATAATAGATTTGAACAAATTTGGTGTTTACTTCAACAACAATGAACTTCTGCAACAATCAACAAACAGGCTTTTCAAAATCCAACCCTTATTGGATTTTTTCTTTGAAAGATTTCAGACTATTTATAAACCAAATCAACAACTTTCCTTAGATGAAGCAATGATTCCTTGCAGGGGTAGGCTTCGCATACGAACATATAACCCAGGGAAACATAAAATATGGCTTACTTGTTCATATGGTCACTGAAAGTACCTCAGGCTATATCTTTTTTTTTTTTTTAAGATTTTTATTGGGGAATTGGGGGGATGGGAACAATGCTGGGGAATTGGGGGAAGGGGAACAGACAAGTTGCTATCATTTTATTCTTCAGTCTAGTTGTGGAGGACGTTGCTTCACTGGCCCAAGTTGGCACCATCATTGCGCTCTTCTCTGGTGAGGCAGATCAGTCGCCGGCTTCTGGACGGCCGCTCACTGCGGCTGCTGGCCGCTCATGCTGGCTGCTGGCCACACACGGTAGCCCATGGCAATCCACTGCCACAGGGACTGCAGCCCACGCCGTCGCCGGCGACTCATGGCAGCCCAGCTCCAGGTTGAGCTGTTGTTCAGCATCTTAGCTATGGAGGGCAGTGTCACTGGCCCTCATATGTGGGATCCGAACCGGGGCCCTCTGGCATCCCAAGCGAGTTCTTAACCATCGCGCCACTCGGCCGGCCCCAGGCTATATCTTGAATTTTAAAATTTATGCTGGTGAAGGAAAAAAATTACAGGAAACTATTTTTCACACTTTTGGAACCTTATCTTGATCAATTACCATGTCTACCAAGACTATTACAATCATGTGACAATTGCTGAAACTCTCCTTTGAAGACAAGTTAGAGTATGTGGAACAATCAGAGTGAACAGGGGTCTTCCTCCAGAAATCAAAAACGAATCAGTCTCTGAAACGTGGCGAAACCACATTCAGGAGAAAGGGTGAAATTCTTCTTCAATCCTGGAGGGATACTCGTGTTGTCAACATGATTTCCACAATTCACGATTCAACAATAGTTGATGTTCCATGGAGAAATGAAGAAGTAAAGAAAAAACCTATTTTGCCAGCCGAGTGGCTCAGTTGGTTAAGAGCTCGCTCAAGAGTGGGAGCTCTGAGCAGCAGCAGTTCGATTCCCAGCCCAAGCTGAGCTGCCACTGAGCTAACAGGTGGCAGGATGGCTCAGCTAAAAAAAAAAGAAAAAACCTATTTGTATTTTTCAGTATAATATGTTCATGAAGGGTATTGATAGGGCAGATCAGCACTTGTCTTATTCTGTCTTGAGAAAAACTGTGAAGTGGCCAAAGAAAGTTGCATTTTGGCATATAAATTGTGCACTTTTTAATTCTTTTCAAATCTATCAAAAACTAAACCCTAAATCAAAAATGAGATACAAAGAATTTCTGCTACAAGTGGCAAAAGACTGGGCTACAGATAAGGTGGAGGCAGACTCAGACACAGACACAGATGCAGCACACCCAGGAACATCAACCCAAACCCCTCGTGTGCCTCATAAGGACCCCCTGGGAGACTTTCGGGTGAACTGCGCAAACATGTGCTAGAGAAAATTGATGGAAGTGAGCGGGGTAAAAAATAACATCCTGCTAGGCAGTGCCATGTTTGTGCTGCTCACAAAAAAAGAAGTGAAACTTGGTAAACCTGCAAGTTCTGCTTAGTGCCACTCCACAAGGGGGAATGTTTCCAGAAGTATCACACCCTCAAGCACTACTAGGGTATTTGGTATTTCCTGAAAATTTCAGTTCACAAAAATAGTTGTGAATTTGTTATAAATTTTTAAAGAAACACAGTATAAAAGTTGATTTCAATGGTTTAAGCCCCGGGAACATGCATTTAAACAATTTAAATGCCCCATCCTCAATGTGTTAACAGATGGCATCTAACCTTTCAGAAAGGACTTATTTCTAGGTCCCACCTGCCCACTGCTGCCTCCTTCCCTCCCCATATATATCACAACTGCCAGGACCCTATGATTCATTTGTTGTAGACTCCACCCTGCTTTCTGAATGAGAATAAGAGGCAGTCCTAAACAAATCAGGGTATTATATGTGGATAATAGTAGGCAAGTGAGCCAATCTGATTCAATGGCAATAATCATATTGGGATTGTCGTAAATGATCATCACTCTCTATTCCCTGGGAATTCAAGCTGGAAAGAAAGCAGCTTGAATCTTCTGGGGCCCACTATGAAGAGAGCCTGCCAGGAAGAATAGCTAATGCAGAAAGATGCACAGCCAAGACACTGAAACAGAATCCATTCCGATATTGTCTTCTTAGCCACGGTATCCAGTCACACCTGAAGCTGGTTATACCCAAGGACTTTCTAGTAAGCAAACCAATAAAGTCCCTTTATAGCTAACAAATATGAAGGGTGAAAAGACAAGCCAGAGACTGGGAAAAGTTATCTGCAATATACGTATATATAATATACATAATATAATATATATAATATATATTACATGGTATGTAATGTGTATGTTTGTAACTATAGAGATACACGTACATACAATAAAGGACAAGAAAATCCTTCAAATAAAAAGAAAAATGGGTGACATGTTTCAACAGGTGCCCTCATAGAAGATATCCAACTAGCCAACAAGTATGTTAAAAAGTATTCAACATCATTACATATGAGGTAAATACCAAAAACAAGATATTACCATATTCTCTGCTGAACAGCTAAAATTAGAAAGTGCCGGCCAGGTATGTGGAACAACTGGAATTTTCGTGCATTGCTTTTAGGATTATAGATGGAATCAACATTTTTGAAACACTGGAATATCTACCAAAACTAAACATAACGTCTACCCTTTGATTCATTAATCTCATTCCTACATAGTGTAAATCTGCCAAAAGAGCAATTAAAAGGCAAACACATTATGTTGACAAAAGAAGCCAAACACATAACTGTACATACTGTATTTTAAATTTATATAAAGATTAAGAATAAGCAAACACAATAAATTGTAATAAAAGTCAAAATTGTGGTTGCCTCTGTGGAGCAATTATTGAGAAGGCAGATGAAGAAACGTTCTATAGTCCTGGAAGTGCTCTGCTTTATCAGAATGTATACATGCGCAATTTAATCAAGCTGTACACAACATTAGCATACTTCATGCGTATTACAGTATGTTGCCTTAATAAAACAATAAAAAGTGATTAAGGGGAAGTGGTGTAATTATACAGCGATACAGCACTTAATGACTGGGATAGTCTGAGAAATGCATTGTTAGGCCATTTCATCATCATGCAAATATCATAAGTGTCCAGGTGATAGGAATTTTTCAGCTCCATTATAATCTTATGGGATCATCATATCTGCAATCTGTTGTTGACCAAAATGTCCTTATGTGGCACAGGTCTGTACTTTTAGAGATAAGGGGAAAATATAATGGAAGGGAAAAGTGTGGCTAAATGTACCTGAAGCACAAACCAAATAAATTCCATCCTTTCAGATAAAAAAGCAGTAAAATCTTCCATTTGAAGATGTCAAATATAAATTTCTCCATTAAAATGGGATCGCACCTTATCTGATGTTCACCTTAATCATACCTAATCTTCACTGTCCACTTGTTTTGAGATCATAGTGGACTTACATAGATGTATCTTTCCCCTTGAGCAGAGTGACATAATGGGACTGGACTGTGTAGATGACAACAATCCTGCTCCAAATTGGGGCCAACTCTATATAATCAGTTGATGTGCCATAGGGACTGTAATATCAGCAAAATGACAATGCTAGAACAAGCCAGAAAATCTAAGAAGCTGTGTATGGCCATGATGGAGTGTCACCTTGCAGCTGCCGACTCGAATGTTCCTGCGCACTGATCCTTTGAAGTCATAAGGGAGTGTCTTGGAATGCTAAGACCCGAGGGAATAATCTTGGTAAAACTTCCTTATCTAATGGTCTCAGAATGCTGAGTCCATCCATAGGGATCATATGTATGTGTGAAAGCACAACTTGTGTTTGATCACAAGGAGTTTTGGTGAAGTAGTTGCCAGACACATTGAATCAACAAACTGGGTTTAGATATTCAAATTTACCTTTGTGGCAGTTGAGAATAAAAGCTTTGCGCCCACCAGAATTGGGGCTCGGTCCATAGAGACTTGAGATCCCTGGCCCGCAGTAACTCTACATTTGACTCTTATATTTCTTAACTGTCCCTCCTCAAGCTCCCCAGCCCTTGTCACACGGGACGTGCTAATGGAGGAACTTAAAGGTGTCTATGAAGCTGCTTCTTTTAAGGTAACTTAAGTCAAGCATTTAATGTTCCGTTTTGAGTCAGTATTGATTGGTGGGGCCAATATAAGGAAAATGAGTGGGAAACTATAGTCCATCAGGTGCCTATGCATCTGTCTCCCTGTCTCATGGCCCCACTAAAGATAATGAATTCTATCCTCTGCCTTCCAATTCTCATGGAAACTATTTTAGACTCCAACCTGGAACTGCATGAGGAAGTGACTCTGGGAAATGGAGTCCCAGCCATACTCAAATTAACACACAGCCAGTCCAACCTTTACTTCTAGCTTTCTTGTCACAAGGTCTCTTTTTCATCTTAAAACATTGGGTCCAATTTCCAGTCATGAGCAAGAGCAAAGAACAAAGTACAAAAACCAGCATATCAGATGAGACACTATTTTCAAGACCTTTGCACTTAGTAATTTCTGCTGAGATTACTTATTAGACAGGAGAAGCTTTGAATAATAAAAACTGATAACCTCAAAAACTGTAGTTTCTCTTAGTAAAAAAGTGAAAAAAAATTAGGTGAGCAATTTCCAGTATCTGCGGGACTAAATCAAAATGAAATTACCAATTACAAAGAAAATTATAAAAGAAATTACAAATACCAGTGTCCATACCATAATAACTGCATTTAGAGAGCAATGAAAGTTAATCAGAAGCTAAAAAAAAAAAAAAAAGACCACTCCTGCCTGCATATGAAAAAATACACTTTAAGTCCCCCATGGGTCCAAGACTTAGTAATGGAAATAAAATTTACATCAGAACCAAAATATAAAAGCACCTCAAAAGAAAACATGTTAGAACTGAAAGATATTGGAGGGAAATTTATCACCTTAAATATTCATATCAGAAAATAAAAACTGGAAATCAAAGAGCCAACAGTCCACTTCAAGGGTGAGGCACTGATCTTTGCTTCTAGTATGGATTTCTTATGAATTCTGACTTATAAGTGAAAGACTTGAAGGCATTACCACATGGTTTACATACACAGGGTTTCTCTCAGTTGTGAGTTCTCAAGAGTCTTCAAGAAGATGAGGGACAATTTCATACTTTCTTACATTCATAGGATGTCTCCACAGTGTGAGATCTCACACATTGCCTAAGATTTGAAAAGCCTTTCAAATATTCCCATATTTCTTACATTTATATGTTTTCTCTAGTGTGAGTTTTCACATGTCTTCGAAAGTAGGCAGGGCAAACAAAGGCTTTCCCACATTCCTTACATTCATATGGTTTCTCTCCAGTGTGGCTTCTTACATGTCTTCGAAAGGATGAGGGACAACTGAAGGCTTTCCCACATTCTAGACACTCAAATGGTTTCTCTCCAGTGTGCATTCTGGCATGTACAGTAAGGTATGAAGAATGACGAAAGGCTTTCCCACATTCCTTACATTCATAAGGTTTCTCCCCAGTGTGCGTTCTCATGTGGATCCTCAGAGCTGAAGGATAAATAAAAGCTTTTCCACATTTCTTACATTCATAAGGTTTTTCTCCAGTGTGAGTTCTTACATGTACTGTCAGGTGGGAAGAACTAATAAAGGCTTTCCCACATTCCTTACATTCATAGGGCTTCTCTCCACTGTGAGTTCTCAAGTGTTCAGTGAGGGATGAGGAACGACTAAAGGCCTTCCCACATTCCTTACATTCGTACTGGATCTTTCCAGTGTGATCTCTCACATGTGCTCTAAAGGATGAGGGACAACTAAAGGCTTTTCCACATTCCTTACATTCATAGGGTTTCTCTCGACTTTGATTTTTCACATGTGTATTAAGGGAAGTGAGAAGATAGAAGGCTTTTCCACATTCCAGACATTCATAGGGTTTCTCTCCAGTGTGTTTTCTCATATGGATACTCAAAGAGGAGGGACAATTGTAAGCCTTCCCACATTCCTTACATTTATAGGGTTTCTCCCCTGTATGTGTTCTGACATGTACTGTGAGTTTTGAGGACTCACTGAAGGCCTTTCCACACTCTTTACATTCATAAGGCTTCTCTCCAGTATGAATTCTTATATGTATTATAAGGTGAGAGGAAGAACTAAAGGCCTTCCCACATTCCTTACATTCGTATGGCTTATCTCCACTATGAATTCTTTTGTGTTTGGAGAGTGAGGAAGAACAACTGAAGGCCTTCCTACATTCCTTACATTCATAAGGCTTATCTCCACTATGAATTCTTTTGTGTTCTGTGAGGGATGAAGAACAGCTAAAGGTTTTTCCACATTCCTTACATTCATAGTTTGTCTTTCCGGTGTGAATCTTCATATGTGCCCTAAAGAATGAAGAACAACCAAAGGCTTTGGTACATTCCTTACATTCATAGGGTTTCTCTTCAGTGGGAGTTTTCATGTGCTTCTTAAAGCAAGCAAAAAAATAGAAAGCTTTCCCACATTCCTTACACTGATAGGGTTTACTTCCAATGTGAGAGCTGATGTGACTCTTAAGGGATAATTGATCCATGAAGACCTTTTTACACTCATGGCATTCATAGGATTTTACTTCGGTAGTTCTCTTGAGTGTATTAAGATTTGAAATTTGGCCAAATGTTTGTCCACGCTGATTTTCTTCATTATAGTCATAGACATTCTCCACCACACAACTTCTTTTAAAAATAAAAAGCACATTATTAGTAACAAATAAATTTTTACCATTTTCAGTGACTACGTATTTTTTTTTATTCTGTCAAGTTATAAGCTGAAAGTTCTCACACAGCTCTCCACATTAGCCAACATTATCACTGAGTTTTTGACTTTTGGTTTCTGATAATTATTTACAACCAAATTATGTGTCAAACATCGAAGATATCAGTCTCATTTGTGGGGGGAAAATCTTGTGAAAATTCTTTATGACATCATTAATTTTTGACAAAGTTTTATACACGTTTTTTAAAATACTGTGACATTTTAAGATACTCTACGGAAGCACTACTTTCTTTTATATGAATGGCACTCACCTCAAATGTCTCTCGTGGCTTTTGTTCTTATAATCAATACCATGGTATTCCCAGTTTTTGTGTAAAATGGACGACCAGGAATCATTCCTTTTGAATCTTACTATTTTCTGTTCATTGGATATTTTTTCTCCATAAATATCTTGCGAAGTGACTGACTCATTACTTTTAAGTTGAGTCTCAAAACCTAAAACAAAAGGTAAAGGCACCAGTCAGAAAAGGACTTTTGGTAGTGAGGCTATTTCAGGACTTAATTTGGTAATAAGCATAATGATCAAAATGGTAAGCAACTGACTAAGAAATAACTACATGAATATTGAGACTGATGGTTAAATGAATAGGATATAATTAAGAGGACAAAAAAAAAAGGAACTGGATAAAATGTACATGACCAAATACTAACTTACAAAGAGGAAATATAGAAGGTCTTTCCTCAAAACAAGAAAAGTATGAGAGGGGCCGGCCGAGTTGTGCATTGGTTAAGAACTGGTTTGGGACGCCAGAGGGCCCCGGTTCAGATCCCACATATGAGGGCCAGTGACACTGCCCTCTACAGCTAAGATTCTGAACAACAGCTCAACCTGGAGCTGGGCTCCCAAGAGTCGCCAGCGATGGCGTAGGCTGCAGCAGGTTGCCATGGGCTACCATATGTAGCCAGCAGCCAGTGTGAGCGGCCAGCAGCCGCAGTGAGCGGCCGTCCAGAAG